GGCAGTGGCTCGTAAAATCAGAATAATCGAGTTCAAAAAGCTCAGTGCCTGAGAGACTGACTTTGTGTTACAGCCTATATGCACATTGTGTCTAGTAGCAAGAAGAAAAGGATGCACACCGGACTAGCAAAAAGTCATATAGCAGCAACAAGGACCCCAGACCATGAGGGACAATGAGACATGACAGGCCTGCAGGGCCATTAACCGATTGTCCCTCATGTCCACTGGGCGAGTGATTTCTTGGGGTGTCCGCTCCGGGGACAACGGTTTAGTAATGCAAACCCTGATAACCCACGGGTTTCCTACAACCCGCTGACATCTTCAAGCTGTGGCCAGGGAGCTGCCGCATTGGTGATGCATGTTAAAAAACCATGGGAAGCCTGACAAATTCCTTGCTGCGTGCCTGGACCTAAAACCCTATATAGCCCAGCCAGAAGCAGGAAGCTTTTCGGCTCCGTCTCTCCGATGCCCAGAAGCTGCAGGAGGCCAGACTTAGATTTATCATTATCCCTGTTGCTACTGTTATCCGTCTAATCCTCTTGTGGTTGTTATTCCTTATGATGACAATTCGGTCATAGCCGCTGGGACCCTTTCTACGCTTGTGCTGCGAATTGTATGCTGCCGGGTTCCATAGCGGATCCCAGCTCACGAGCTTGGTAGCCCCCCCTGCCTCATGCGCTGCGAGGCACTTGATCAGCAGCACGCTTGGCAGCAGCCCGTCGCAGAAGAACTTCCCAACTCTTGCTGTCGTTTCGTTAGAGGGGGAACCCGGGGACTTGCACCTCCAGCCTCCGGTGATTTCAGTGTGTTCGCTGTGGTACGACTCCTATGAGCTGCGCAGCTGGCAACAAGAGCCGATCCCTGATAAACAACAGCTAAACAACATACTGCAGCAGAACATGGAGGCGTCATCCCGACCCGAGCTCGTTTCGTTGCAACTGCTTGAGCATTTCATCCATTCTACCATTGAGGCGCCAAGCCTACCGGGATCTTCACCTTGCGCAGCTCCTCGCCATGATCTCCTGGTGCCCTGAAATCCCTCACAACCATTTACGCTCCATGCCACACCCCACAGCGGCCCTACACCCTGTGATCGAAAGCGATCGACTCGCAGCTCAGGATGCAGGTGCGATGGTTCGGGTTTGCACTGGATTACGTCGAATTTTGGTCGAAAAGGTTGAATGGTTTAATTTATACATATACGATTGAGATTTCTGGTTTAGGATAGAGTCGTAGAGGGGCGGGGTGGAGAGTCTCAGGACTAGCTGTGATAAAGTATGCTCAAAAATAGATGCAACTGCCACGAACGAATGCTGCAAGGGCATACCATACTGTTGTGAAGAGGGGGCACACGAGAGTGCAGTTGCAGTTGCCGCACTATCACTGTGTCGCTCAAGCCTTGTGAGCTGAACCTCGTGCCCCTATCCCAAAGCCCCAACACTACCTAGAATCCCGCGGCAGAGGCTTCTGACAGACTACTACCTTCACTTCGCTCGGGAGAATGCTGCGGCTGGCTTGCAGGCCCTTTGGCGTGTTGCTCCTATCTAAAAGCTAGCCGCAAGCGTTATGACCGACGGCATGAGAACTTATTTGGGCATGACTAGCGTGCGCTTCTTCGCGATTTATGTGGGATTGTGGCCAATGGCCCCTAGCAGACAGTCCCGTGAGATCGTGTGCTGCCAGGGCTGCACGGATCCGGACTCTGTGGCTAGGGCGGGATGGTTGGACGAAGCCCCTCGACGGTCACAGCTTCGTGTCCTATGTGAGTTTTCAGCTACTCAGGGTTGTGAAGCATGCCTCGTTTGATGTGTGTGGTCTTAGAAGAGACAGAACTTTCATTCTAGCAGTGCTTTGCATGACAAGGCTGGGAGGAATCACCGTAATCCTCAACTTCAGGCCCTAGAGGGCTGTTTTCCCCCGCGTCTCACTACTGCAGGGCTCTTAGCCGACCCGAGTTTACTTCCGCTTCTGAGCGTAATCTGAGTTGCCAGAAGAGTAATGAAAGCATCTCTAGTTGATACGTTCTGGGTACGCTCACATGTATGTAATTTTTATATGTATAGATTTATAGATATATACACTTATAATCACTTATACGTGTATATATACGTGTATATATATATATATATATATAGACATAGAGATAGATACAGCCTCAGTCTTCTAGGTCAGAATCCAGTCGAGGTGCATCTTCTGGCATCATCCAGGCGCCTGCCCGAGATGCAACTTGGCGGCACGGGGGAAAGGGGGGGGAAAGGGTGGGGGGGGGTTAGGGTTTAGAGTTTAGGGTTCAAGGCTTGGGGCCCCCTGCGCATCAGCTCGTTGCCAGCATGGTATTGCGCAGAATGCAAAACTTGTTTACATTATCAGCTTTAGGCCTTAGGGTGTATCATGTTTGAGGTGTTTTACCGTACAAGACCACAGTATGATTGGCATGGTCTCCAGGCTTTTTCCATGTCCTCTCTGTGTGACGCACACTTTAGGCCCTTAGGCCGTTTGCTGCCGTCATCTCGTGCTATTGTGGCTACCACTCCGAAACCTGTTGAATTGACAACTGAACAGCTGTCACGAGTGTTTATGCAGCCTAACCCCACATTCTGCAAACGCAAAGCCATCTAACTTCTAGCGTCATAGACCGTAAAACCCCATCACCCGAAACCCAGCAGAAAAAATGCAAGATGCTCACGCTGCGAAGGCACGGTCCCGAGATGTTCAACCGGGTCTTCGCTGCTGTGGCAGAGGGCTCGCATGGGCAACTCGATGTTGTTGGGGCTTGCCTATACCCTCGAAAGTAGCTCCTTTGTTGATTACTTTGTTTAGATTTGTTAGTTTTGGTTATCCTTAACATACTCCTGGTCAACCAACAACCCAACTACACTGCGGAGTCTAGGCAGGTAGGGTAGGCTACAGTTTGCCTCAGCAGACTTCTGCGGCCATCACCCTGTCAAGTTACAGACGCTTTCGCCAGATACTTAATTTGCCAACAGGGTTTCTGCGCGCTCTTGCTTCTACGCCTCCTGCTGCTGTGCTACTACTACTACTACTACTACTACTACTACTACTACTACTACTACTACCACTACCACAACAAGTCCTACTGCTCCCACTGCCTCTACTCCCCTCTACTACTACCTATACCGCCTAAGACGGACTATGTCCACGACCTACTGCCTAGTACCTACTCACCTCCACCACCGCCACGAAAACAACAGCGACAACAACAACAACAACTACTGCTACAACTGCTACAACTACTACGAAACTGAAGCCTTCTGAGCAGCTCCCATCCGTTCATGGGCATGGCACGTCGCTTTGTCTTTGTGCGCTTCCCGCGTTGTTGTTTTATCCCATTCTTCGCCTAGGAACTTCTCTGATACGGCGGTGGACCCCTTCCTTTGCACTGCTGCCTGTCCGATTTCATTACTTGGGGCTGCAGTACATCCGGGTCTTGCTGTGAATTTACAGGCCCCTCTAGTATCTGACGCCGGCATTGCATTTCAACGATGTCGACTCTGTACGTGGAGCTGAGCGAGAGGTCTGTGCATCATATGTTCCTTGGAAGTAGGCAGTTGCTCTTCGTTCAGCTTGATGTCTGCACCCAGGTCAGATCGATGATCGCGAGCTTCTGCCGTGTGGCCGCAAAGTCCGTGGCAGTGGCGAATTTGGCTGGCTGACTTCTGGCTTGCTCCTTCATCTTCTCGTCACGGAGAGCTTCCACTGGCTATTGTCCCTGACGGTCGTGCCTAAGCCAGTTACAGGGAGAGCCGACAGTCCTGAAAGCTCCATCTTCAACCGGGCGCAGTGCAAGGGCTTGGATTGACCTCCGTCGGTTGTCTGCGAGCGCGACAACACTGTTGGATGCCTCTGCCCAGCGATTTTTGATCCAGGCTTTGTCCACTATCGGCAGGCGGTCGAAGCTGCAGGTTGGCACTCCGCGTCGCCTCATCTCCCTCAGCAAGGCCCAGAATTTCCGCCCTCCAGCACGGCATGCACTGCAACGCCTTGCACGGCACAGCAGACAGGCTTCTCTTGACCAAGGGCTTCAAGCGGGAAGTCGAAAAGCCCTGACTGCACGCGGGCAGTAGTGGTATAGTGAGAATGTTTAGACTTTAGGGACCCGACTATGATCACCATTATCCCTTGAGGCCACTACAGGTGAGCCTTAGCGGCACCAGGCTGAAAGATACGAACGTCGGGCTATGTAATCGTAGTAGGTGAAGTGGCACTCAAGGTTTCCGTAAACGAAAGGGGGGCCTTGTGGATCCTACTGTTGTGGGGTCTACAGATTATACATTGCAGGAAGTACCCTGACGGTTAAAGATACTAGAAAGTGCTTTAGGTGCGGATCCTCTGCCTTTTCTGAAATGCAAAAGCCCCGGCAGGAAGAGTTCAATTTTCTTCTGTACTGAAACCGAACTTAAAATCTACAACCTTCAGCCCCTGCAGCCCCGAACCCGTAAACCCCGAAACATGTCGAGCGGCCGAGCTTGTCAACACCCTCGAGCACCACATCCATAAAAGCAGAACCGTAAACGCTGAAGCTTTAAACTGTTAGCCCGCGAAGCCGCAGACCTCCAAGCCCAACAAAGCACCTTGAGCCCTTCGCACTTCTTGGAAGCTCTTTTGATTTAGTACTTAGAAGAGTGCGGTGGACGAGCCCCTTATGGTAACCCAGCGGAAGCCTTTCATAGAAGCCTTCTAATCCAAGGGCCTTAATAATTTCCTATACTATTTTGGTGGTTCCTTGTTATACTTTTAGTATAGTGGGCCCCAAAACTTTATTCTAATTATTAAGGCCCCTATACTGTGGTACCCTTATAGATCCCTTATAGTAGCCCTTATAGACCCCCTTGAAGGAACCATATTCTAATGATTAAGGCCCCTATATGAATCAAGCCTTATATGCAAAGAAATAGCAGACCTTATAGTAACCCTTAACCCTTATAGACCCTTTATAAGAGCCCGCCATTAAAGGATCCCAAGACGCATATGCAAAGAAGGATGATCTTCCGGACCTGTGACTTCCAGTGCTCGCCGGCCGGCAGCAAGACGCTTCAGCTGCTTCGGCTTCTGCTACTGCTACTAGTAGTAGTACGTAGTTCGTAGTAGTAGTACGTAGTACGTAGTAGTAGTACGTAGTAGTAGTACGTAGTAGTAGTACGTAGTAGTAGTAGTAGTAGTAGTAGTAGTAGTAGTAGTAGTAGTAGCAGTAGTGTAGCACTGTTACGGCTGGCACTACGAAGGTCAGAATGACAACAGAGCACAGTGATGGGTAGTGTGCTATGAATGAATAAGATGACTATTTCCTAGCATTCGTGCCAACATCTGAATCTGAGGCGCCGTCCACTTTCGCTGTGCCGAGTTCTGAGTACTGAAGCCCTCCTCTAAGGTACTTCCAGCTTCTTCAGAACTGCTCCATGGCGAGCGGTTTGGAATTGGAAGCCCTTCGGGCTCGATGGGAGATCTTGAAGATGATCTTCAACATGAAGCTTCCTTGCTCTTCCTGGGCCCTGCGTTCTAGAATCTAGGGCCCTTAATAACAATAAGAATAGGGTTGGGGGGCGGTATATACTATAGTTCTAATAAGGAACCCCACAAATTCTATAGGTTACTATTCAAGCTAGCACTTCTTTTGGATACTATAGGGGCCTTAATCATATTTCGAACAGGGTTTGGGGGGGCCAATTATGCTATAGTTATATTATAGCTATAATAAGGAACCCCCAAAAACCCTGTTCTAATCATTCAGGCCCTCATATTACATCTAGGTAGGGCTTTGGGACATTTTATATTTTCCCTTATTGGGCTTAAGAGGATCTTATTTACTAATATTTTTCAAAAGCTTTAAAAGCCCCACCTAGACATGGGCCACTCTGACCCCGACACCGGGCTTCAGGAAGCTCGGATCCCAAATCGGAGGCTTCTGGTGTCGCGCATCCCATTCGAGCAGAAGGGTTTAGGGTTTAGAGTTTAGGGTTAAGAGTTTAGAGATTAGGGTTAAGAGTTTAGAAATTATGGTTTAGGGTGTAGAATCTAGAGTTTAGGGTTTGGGTCGTCAGTGAGACCAGCAGACCACCCAGAAACAGCACCATCAATCTACCTCAACACCGCAGGAGCACGGACGTGCATGCGGAAATGTGAACACTATAGTAACGCATACAGACCAGCAGCCCCTCAACTCTAACCCCGGAGGTCAGCAGAAGACGGGGTTCCGCTCGTTTGACATTATGTCTCCTCATAGTCTCTGTATAATTGGCACCGTGGTATTGTAATGCATGTGTACCCTCATCTCCTTATCGTCTCCGTATCAGTAAATTGCACTCAACGTGCCAGCGTCTGGGCCCAGGCTTTGGAATGGAACCGATCGCGTGCTGACAATTTCGCTGCGGCATTTCAGATCCGACTTTGATGCCACCTCACGCTGCATTCTCGGCTTCCTGTCGAAGGCATCGTAGCTTCGCTGTGCAAAGCTTATCATGATCGGAGCAGCCACTCTACAAACGAATACGCCGTAGACGAACCCTCATGCTGGAACAGTGATGCGGCTGAGTCTGGACCCTAACATCCTAAATCATTGAAGCCCCACGGCCGAAACTGAGCCGGGCTCCGGTTAGGGAGTGGGTCTCGCAAAGTCTTCCCATGTTGTGCAGGAAGGACAAAGCAGAAGACTGCATGGCCGGCAAGCAGAGGCCGCGCATGAATATAATAAGATTAACAGTAGTCATACTGATGATGATGATGATGATGATTAATAATTAAGATGAAATAACAACAAATGATAGTGGTGAGCACACTACGCCCCTCCAATGTAAGATCAAGCAAGCACGAGCTCATGTCCCGCGCTTGCTTGAAATTCCTCGATGAAGATGCATGCTTGCATTGGCTTGTCCCCATCGCGATGCAATTAAAACGATTGCTCGACCATTTCAGCAAGGGTAATTTTATGAAGGGTTTGAGGCCTAAAGTTTTCAATGCAGGCAAGTACAAATCAATAAATAGAGAGATAGATAGGTGACTACCATGTGTATATTTTCATATTTATATGCGTACATACATGTACATGTATGTGCATGAGCGGCATACATGCCATATGGTCTATTGTGCAACTGTTGGTGCCAGTAGACAGTAGATGGATTATCACAGACACACTGTTTGTCAAGAGGCGCTGCGCAGGCCTCAGTTGTCCATGGTTTGTGGAAGGGTAGTTGTCAAAATTATGGTCCCTGTTTGGGTATCCTACATATTAGGTGCCGTCTGATATTAAGGACCTAAAAAGGGACCATCATTTTGTCAGCCACCCAGAAGACTGTGTGAGCAAGCACCAGGGCATAGACCACTAGACACGCATACAGTCACGACTTTTCCTGCTGTTGGTTGTGCACTCCAAGAATGTGGCTCTGATTCAACGGCCACGAAGCAGAAGCTCGTTTGAAAACCCGACTGACATGCAAGCCTACCGACCCCGAAGTATGAGACCCTGGATGTTTGGAGCCCTAATCTCTTAAACGCAAGGGGAGCTCAAATTTGACACAACCCCGCCATATCGCCAAACTCCATGCACTCCTTGGCATTCTATGCAACCAACCTGACGAAGAGCCTTCACTGAAAGCAAGAGTCACCGAAATCCTCAACACCCTCAGTATCCTGAAAGTCCTTCTGTACTGCCGCACTCCGACGGCTAGGCCTTGCTTTCCGAGCTCCGCGTCCTGGGCCAAGGGTCGCGGCACCATGAAGCCCGGAGCAGAGCCACTGTGCTTTGCTTTGTTGGGTTTTGCTTCCTTTGCATGTGAGGATAAGTATACGGATATGTGTAGTATACCACGAAGAGCTCTACAAGTATGCCCTTGCTTGGTATGATCACCGTACACACTGTGTGATTATAGTAATTGCTTGTATACGATGCTGCAGGCGTACGATTGAAATTTGAATTTCGAGGCTTCGAGGCCGAGGAATGAGCCGGGTTCGGTTCCGTGAGCGTGGGGGAGTGTCTGTAGTCGACGCAGGGATTCGACAGACTTGGCTTCAAGGACCATGATTAGCATTTTAGGTTTCAGGTTCTGGCCGACGAAAGTCAATCGGGGCAGGTTTCGGTGCTAAGGTTTGCAGCGTGTGAGTGAGCAGAAATTCGGCCTCGGGTGTCACATATTGTATGTAGTCATCGTGGTATTGCAGCAAGTGTCTGTAGATGTACACAAATAAATGCGTAAACCATATGTATAGGCACATAATAAATAGATAAGTATATATATATATATATACACATGTGTGTGTGCGTACATACATACATACATATATATATATATATATATGCTTCGTAGATTAGTGTGCCAATGCCAAGCTCAGCTCCTGCCATACGGAACCGAAGAGTAAGCTTGATTCACAACGGCCACCCTCTCCTTCTTATTGGCTAGGAAATCATCGGATAAATCACAGCCCCAGATCTGAGGAGACCACTGCAGCAAAGGCCGGACCAGAGATGTTCTTCTCCTTGGGCTTCGGGCCTTCTTGGGCTGCTCCCAGGGCTTGGGGTGCATTTTTTGGGGACTGTTTGGGTTGTACCCTAAGCCCTGAAACCGCGGCTCGCACATTAGGAGTTGTGTTTGCAGGACGTGCTGTGGCGCGACGTCCTGGACCAGAGTGCTTTGAAGATGCCTTGGGTTCAGAGTCAGGGTTTGAGAAGACTTGCATGGAGATGCAGAGGCGGTTTCCAACTACCAGGGCACGTTGACAATGCATGCATGTGCTTGGCCGTGGCAATCCTGCATATTCAGCTGCTGCTTTGGGCCGAAAGACAGCCCTATCAAGTCTGAAACCGACCCTGCTTGTGCTTAGTAGCTGCGCAGGTAACCTTTAGCCTTTTGCCGGCTTATCGAATCCTACCATACTTGAAAGAGGGCTAACCTTTTGCGGGGCTGGAGCACTCAGCCCCTTAGTGTGGAAGCCCCGCATGTTGTCTTCGCCGGAGGACAGGCAGCCCTACCTCCGAGAAGCCGACCGGCTCTTTGAGAAGCTGATGTTCTCAGGTGGGTTTGGGGCTTAAGGATTTGGGGCTTTAGGATGGCTTCAGGGGTTTAGGAGGGGTTTAGGGATTGGGCAGCAAAGCTCTCGGGGTTTAGGGTTCAGCGGTTTAGGCTTTATTAAGTTGGAGACTTGGGGGTTGCGGGGTTTTGGGCTGAGGGGGCCAGCAAATCGTAAGTGCTTCTTGAGGATCCTCTAGGGCTTCTTCGAGGGTCCTTGCATGGTAGCTTCGGTTTCTACGGGGCCCAGCTATGGTATAAGCTGATGTGTTGTGGGTTTGTTTATTGCGGAATCTATGGGACTAAACCAGGCTTCGACGGCTGGTTATCCTGAGGAGTGCTAGGTCTCCGGGGCTCGGCGTCTTTGCGTATGCTCTCTTGTCTATGGTTGGTACTTGCTGTTGGGCTTTTCGGAGCAGCATGCGCATAGTCCCTGGAGTCTCTCTCTAGTCTTGGAGTTCTGACGAGTTCCCTGCGGTGCGACTTGTTTCAGCCGGGCGGGTGGCAAAAAACCAGGTTTTGGAACAACTGCAATGGCAGAGTCTTTTGTGCCCCAGCAACTGCGAGTGTTGACTGCAACGAGCAAGCAGACACTCAGCAGTAGGGATGAAGCAGTGAAGAAGACTGCGGCTCTCTTGGCGTTTGGGGTGTGGGCCTGGGGGTCGGAATAATTAGCAAGAGTATTCCCTTAGGTCGTCCCTTGTTAAGTTGCAGTTTTAACACACACCAACCTGTTGAAATCAGTCTAATCATTAAGGGCCCTATATTGGCGCTTTCTTGTGCAGCCGCGTCGCAGAGGACGAGCTTCTTATACCAATCAGGCTTTCTCTGGCTTCCATTAGTCATAGATTGCGAACCCTGAAGCACATACCTCTAGATTTGTTAAGCCTTAAGCCTGAGACTGTCGAAGCCCACCACAAGGCCCAAACTCGGAATACAAATACATTGGAGACCCCAATGGGCTCCTAGAAAGGGAGGGATCCTGATTTAAAAAACTCCTATGTAAGGCAGCTCTCATTCTCAGAACCCCCCCCCCCCACTTGGGCCATGACCATGACCTATGTTTTCAGGCCATCACCGGGTCGCTGCACGCTTCGGCTGCCCGCGGATCAAAAGAAACGGGAGTTTCAAGGATGTTACTCTTCGGGATCGCAATGCAGGCCCCCCTTGTTTTCTAAACTCGAGTATGGACTTCTCAGAAAGGGGTGCGAACATGTAGCATCATGTACCTCCCCCCCTTTGGTGGTTTCTTTCGCATGTGAGAATCCCTGAATCAAGGACCCCAGCATGTCGTGTTCCTCCTAGCATCCCATACACCCAGGCTAGAAGATTGCGATCCATCAAAACAGAGATGAGATAAGGTTATGGTTATAGGCTATCCGGACACAATACTTCACAAACCTCGTCGCCCTCCAGTTTCACAGTTCTCCGATCTTCTTAAGTAAAGCTCAGCAGAGTTACACAGAAGCCT